ATTGTAAAATCACTAAGGTTAAGTAATCTGTTGTTACTGCGTTAGAAGAGTTTAAATTTGGCAAATTTTCAAGATGGCGGAATCTACGTTTTTCAGGGCTTTTCGTAAAATATCAATATCTCAGCAATGATACAACTTTTTGATTTGCGCCTTTTACCAGAATTCCTTAAAATGTTTGATCTACAAAAGCCTCCTACTTTGGAAAAGTTTCGAGAATATCGATTGAAGAACGTCGGTCGTGGCTTAGGTGCAATGGCTCTTAAGACAAATATGGAAAGGTGAAAGTATTGATAAAATTGTATTCGATTTAAACTATTAGAAAAATTATAAAAAGTAATAAATATTGATAAATAATTCCTATTTCTATATTTTTATACGATGATGTTGTTGTTGTTTAGTTATCTAATAATGGTATATTACGTTTAGATGATTTACTTCTATTAGAACAATATCGTGTTTCATCATTATTGACATATTTTGATACTTTTACACAAGTGCATGGTAGACAATTCTAACCTGTTTTATCGATACCTGTGTAGAATGTGTATATTTAGTTTAAAAAAAGATATTCAAGCAGATGAATTACGTTATGATTTATTTTTAAAATATTTATCAGAAGCAAAAAGTCGTTTACATTTTGATTCATTATGTGAATTATTTCGGCTCTAACCTAATGCTAGTCAAATGAAAGGGTAATTGAGATATTTTTGTTTTCTTTCTTTTTCTTTCTATAAAAAGTAGATGGAAATAAAACATATGACCGGAAGAACTCGGGACAAAGGTGATATTAAGGCATGTAACTGTTAAACTCTGAATCCCCATCTGCTTGCGAAGAGATTTTAAAGAGGAAAGTAAGAATTGGTGGCGCCTTTTGTAATTGCTTTTCACTTAAATCTCACCAGGAGTTGACCAAAACTTCATAAGCACCGTTTTTTGGACGGGAAATTCGAATTTAACAGTTTCATGCCTTAATATCGCCGTTCTTCCGGAGTTCTTTCGGTCACATGATGATTTTCTCCCTTTTAGACCGACTGTTCTCACATTAAAATGTGAATTAGTTTTAAGAATGATCAATGAATTAAGTAACGATGCATGGCAATATTTTAATGATAAAACAATTGAATTAAATGAGCAGGTACGCAAGTTCTCATTCATAAGCCGTTTGTTTCGCCAATAATTAGTTTTGAAAGTGACATTTTCTAAGCTTTTTAAATTTGATTTGAGAAAAGGACGCTATAAGTATTTTTTTTGTAAGAAGCCCCTTACCATATAAAACGCGAAATTATCCATAATGGAATTTTGAAAAATATAATTCAGTTTTTTTATAGGTGTATGATTTCTTTCCAAAAAGTTGTACAACATCGTACATAATGTCATTTTGTAGAGAAATTTCTGCTTTACAATTCTGTACTCCAATGAAAATTTTTTACTGTTAATCTGCTCCAGTTGTATTAAATGTTTGAAAAAAAGTTTTTTTCTTTGTACAAGTGATATTTTGACGCATCCCAGAAAAACGTCGAAAGAAAATATCCTGTAAAATTTGAAAAAAGGTGCTTTTTCGTAATAGAGAAATATAATTTTTACTAAGATTTTCTCGTCATAGATTAGTATGATTTGTTTGTAGGAATGTGTTTCACTTATCAATTACTTACTCCATTCAAATATGTTACTATCGTATGCTTATAAATTATGGTTAATATATCCGATTGACGCTGTTGTACAAGATTTATTTATTAATAATACTCAATTACATGTACGTATAGACTTTTTAGAATGATACAGAAATCAATTTTTTGTTTTGTTTCTTTGTTTTAGTCAAATGAATAAATTTGATAACGAATATTTTCAATTATCACTCGAATATAAACGTTTGTCTATGCTAATTCAAGTATATCCAAATATTTTAGATTATTTATTAAAATACAATTGTTCAGATAAAGATAAATTAGAAATATTAGGGCAAATGATTCATGGTCAACATCTAATCGAAGGTGGACAATATTATTTAAAAGCAATTAAACAGACACATTCAACATTAATTACATCTGGAACATTGATGGATTGTGTGCAAAAATATTTTGTTGAGGGGAAAGAACTCGTGATAAAATTTTATTCGTTTTTTTCTTTTAAAGTGATCATTTATAAAAAAACAATTTTTATAATTGCAATAAATAGTACACATTTTCTTATAAATAGTGTTCGATATTATATATACAAGCTTTAATTTTTCAGAATAAAAGTGAACGTAAATCTTATTCTAGTATTTTTAAAAACTCAAAAATATTGAAAAAGAAGAAAATCAGTTTATGCGTCTCCGAACCTGAACACATGAATTTAGATTTGCACAAAACTACAAACGAAATTTATCGTTCATACTATACATACTGTGTAATTAATTCGATGATACACTGATTAGTTTTTTGTATTTGGAAATAAGGAAAAAATATGAATGAGTGTTTTTTAAGTGAGTACACGAAGCACGCAAACACCTTATTTTGTAGAGAATCATATACTTTGCATTTCTATCGACTGGAAAAGAGATTCATGACTAAGCTTGAAAAAGATATAAAACAGACTCGTAACATCCCTAGTCAAACACGAAATTTTTTACTAAAGATGAATTAAATCAGAGGCAGTGAAACAGTTTAGACGACTTGGAGATTGTGCAGAAATTTTTCGGTGGACTTGGACTCGGACTGGAGATTTTTTCGAAAGACTCGAACTTGAGTTTTTATGTTTCAGATGCGATCGATTCAAGTTCAGTTTATGCGTACGCAGCATGAATTCTAGTTATAAAATAACGACAACTAAAAATGTTTGAAAAAATTAGACCATAGACTATTCGATAGTTTCTCAGCTACAATTGCCGTCAATTTTCTGTTATTCATGGAACCTGTCAGGATTTGATGACAACTATGCAACTTTTATCCTGTTGTCGTACGTAAAGGCTTTACTTAATTTCTCGGCTAACTTTGCCTTCGTTGAACAAATAAACAGATCTACAGCTGGTAATGCTGACAAATTGAGACGACTACAGACAGAAAGTATGAATGGCGAATAAACATAATAAAAACAAGCTATTTAATTGCTTTAGAGTTATTTTTTATCTGTAAAATAACTGTTTTTTCTTTATTACCGTTTTAATAAACATAAAAAAATAAATCAACACAGACATACACAACTTAATATGACAAAAAAAAAAACATTTCTTTTTCTGTATTTGTAACTGAGTCTAATTTTACTTGCAAGATTCGTGCAATTAAATCGCTTCTTTCATTACATTTAGCCATTTCAGCATCACATCGAGCTAGTTCCAGCTTCTCTGTTGATTTTACTTTTAGCACTTCAATATAGTGCACGTGCCAGCAATAGTATCAAACACCCGCTAGAAACACAGTATTGAATAACCCTATAATAAAGGAATATATGCTTAGCTTCAATTTTAGATTTGTTTGACATGACTTATAACTTTTTTCTTTTTGCAACCATCCAATATTTTCAATATTCTGGGTATGTACCGCAGTTTGTGGATCCACGAAATATAACGAATGGTTCACCGTTTGATGTTCATAATCATTAACATTTGTTCTTAAGGAGATGTATGCTCTCCATTCGTCACTGTAAATCGTTGTGCCTGGAAATATATTAAGCGTTAGTAAAGAGAAATATAAATAGAAGGTGATGTATCTGGTCTGACATTCTGTTGTATAATTGGTAACAGTGTGGCAGCATCACGACGATTTACAGTGACAGCAAAACATTCTCTGGTGTCTCTGTCAATACCACCGAATACTCACTGGTTTGGTACCACTCGCCCACGATTGTATTTTCTTTTCGTCCATGAACTTTCGTCCATTTCCACCACATGTCCAACCCCACCAATCACCCCCGGATGCCTTAAAAAAAATTCAGCGCAGATATCACGAAGGAAATTTTTCCAATCAACGATGGTAGACTCACTTCCTAAATTACAGTGACGTCGAAGATCTTTATGGCTATCGAGGCCTTGTGACCAATAAAACATTAAATCGAGTAACTGCTGGATTGATAATCTCGACGCGGAAAAGAAGGTGCCATCACGAATAGATCGAGTTAACTTGCAACCTTTTGCACGACAACGCCACTGATATTCTAAAACATAACATAAAATGTAAAGTGCTTTCTGAGATTATGTTGTATTACTTACTGTCGTGGGCTCTTGACGATTTGCCCATATACCATTTATGATGACCGTTCGTACATGGCGCACTTGGACTATACGATATTAATCCAAGTGTTTGACAAAATGATATACAATCTTCTAATGTATCAGTAATATGGTTCCATTCACGTAATGTCATCTTATCAACAGGCGGTAACGGAAAAATAGACATTTTTAACGAATTAAAGAGTGTACTGTGTCTACCTTCATTATATTACTACTATTTATATCATTTCTTTAGATCCTCAAATAATAATTCAATTTAAGTAGTGTACAAATTATGTCTCGCTTTATTTCATAATCCTGACTGATCCTTCTTAATTGGATCTGTCAGTCTTATCTATTATAGCTCCTATTACTAGAGTCATCTATTATTCGCGTTCATAATAATGTACTTTTGAACCAATAGTTTTTTTTCCCGTTCTGTAGGTGTGTGATCGATCTCTAGAAGTACCGAGACTTGAAGCTTTTTGCGTCAACATGAACGACGATTTAGGCTATTGGTGAAAAACTAAAATTTTTTAAATCATATCATACTTGAATAGTATCGAAATACTATTTTTCAGATTTAGTTTATATTTTCTGGTTTATTTGCTTATACGATGTAGAATTGCCATCTAGGTTATTTCTCTCTTGTAACTAGGGAACAAAAGAGGACTATACTTACTCATAGTTCACTCAAAAACCAAGTCAAGCCAAGCCTACTTACATACTATAAAAACGCTTTCAATCATCAAGAACCGCAAGAATCGCACTGTCTTTTCCTTGAAAACATACTCTAGTCAACAGTGCTATGTTCAATGAGAATAACCGCTACTCACTTAGCGCCAACTATACAAGTAATTGTCTTTGCAACCATTATATGTGTGAAATCAGTTACCCTCTTGCCAGACGGAGAGCACATACGCCAAAAAATCTGTAGTGTATACCACGACAGGCGCTGTTTAATTGAAACATTTATTGACTCCGTGTTAGTGGTCTATTGCCGTGGCTAAACAATTGCTTTAGTATAGTATGTGAGTCACAGTTATATTTCAGATGGCGATCGAGCAATCACGGAAGGACGCCGTTTTAAGAAGAATGCGACGAAAACAGCTCATGTAGTCAAAATCGGCCATAAATCGACGACCTTTTAGCAATTAAGCGGCGAGTTTTTAGTTTAGCAGTCAGCTGGGCTCCTCGGTTCAAAGCTGACTCAAATCGAAACAATGAGGAAACTACAGAGAACATCCTTGGCGACTCCACTTTAAGCTAAACTAAAAAGATCTGAAAAGAAGAACATTTCTTGTTGAAATCATGTTTCTTATATACTTACTCTACTGCAGAATAAAACGGTGAACAATAAAAAACCATTTAATGGCTTAAAATCAACAATTAATCCCAATTAATTGACCATGATTAAAAAAAACAGAAAAATGGCTAGGATCTTTAAGAATGGCGATAGATCGGTGATTTTTAACAACTGCTGATTTTTCATCCAAGCCGATTAGTTGCCCGTAGTTAAAAATCGCCGATATATTGCAATTTATGGACGATTTTAGTCAGAATTGCGAATAATTGGCGATTTTATTGTTAATCGCAAGTAATCGTCCAGAATGGAGCGATTTTAACGACATGGGAGGCTACCTGTTTCGATGTCATTCTGTGAATTATTTGCCTGTTCTACGCAATGATTTTCTCCTTCTGGTCGATGCACTGTGTGGCACATGTATTCTCTGATTCTTGAAAGCTTTTCAAAATGTGAAATCGAAAACTTTACTGGAGATCAATACTGGTTTGTGGCATTTTTCCGCATGCAAGGTGGTCAAGAATACACAGTTTCTCTTTCTATTCTATTTATAGTCACTCTACTGTGTAAAAAACTTATGCTCCTTCAAAGATTCAATAGCTAGTGAATGTTTATTGGCCGAATGTCTAAAATCTGATCGTTTGCGCTTATCTAGTGCAAGTAAAACCGGTTCATTATATATTGTTGTTTGAAACCTGGAAGTTCGAAGTACACGAGTTATCGCTATCGCCACCTGCAATTTATTGGCTTTTGATATATTTTATTCCACTGAATATATCATTTGATTTTCAGATTTAATTTCTCTCACTTCGCGAGAAAAATGACGCGTGTTAAATGCTCGGCACTTCGTGGCAAAAAACCAGGTACGTTCTTTCACTTAACTTTCTCTCCTAATTTAAATTTGTTCGTTTTATCCGCTTAAAGATGAATTATCAAAACAATTGGACGAGTTA